TATTTCCTCCCAATCAGCTGGGACTCAGGAGGCAGAGAATAGATGGGGGTGGGGCCAGTCAGAGGTAATATTTGCCAGTTCTCCGAACTACTCAAAATTTCCTCTACCGGTTCTCCAGAACTGGTCAGAACCTGATGAATACCACCTCTGCTCTGAATACATATGAGGTTTTAATCTCTGAATCATGAGATATGGCAGATTTGGTTTTGCACCACCGCAATAAAGTGAATATCACAATAAAGTGAGTCACAATAATTATTTGGTTTCCCAGTGCATATAGTTTACACTATAGTGCAGTTTATTAAGTGTGCAATGGGCAATGTCTAAAAACAATGCACACACAGTATTGTACAACAATATACAGCAGTGAAAAAATACTTTATTGTTTAAAAATGCTAATTATNTGACAGTTAGAACAATTAATCAGTGAAACGACTTGCCTCCAGAAGTTGTGAATGCCCCAACACTGGAAGTTTTAAAGAAGAGATTTGAGAACCATTTGTCTGAAGTGGTATAGGTTTTCCTGCCTAAGCAGGGGGTTGGACTAGAAGACCTCCAACGTCCCTTCCAACTCTGCTATTGTATTGTATTATTGAATTATATATGACGGTTGCAGTGTCCCAGAGCCACATCATCCCCTTTTGCAACCTTCTGACAAGTTAAATTCAATGAGGAAGCCAGATTCACTTAACAACAGGGTTACTAATTTATCAGCTGCAATGATTCACTGAACAACTGTGGCAAAAAGATCATAAAATGGGGCAAAATCCATTTAAAAAATGTCTCACTTCACAACATAAATTTTGGGCTCAATCGTGGTTGTAAGTCGAGGACCACCTGTATTAAGTTCCTCAGTCTCATCACAGGCTTATTCCTATACAGGTAGGAACTTTAACTGAGACCCACAACTCAGTTGTTATGTGAAGCAGTTGCTAAGTGAAACCGTGATTGTGCTTATGCTCTTACTTCAGCTAAATAAGGCAGTCATTAAACAAGGACGATCTGAATACGCAAAGGAAGTTCTCCATTACTATCAAGAGAAAGTTACCAAGTGGAAAAATAAGGCAGTGAAGCCATATACCCCTGTGCTGTATTTTCTGTGAGAAAAGGACATGGATGCAACCTTTGGTGATTTCCCTATGGCTGAAAACAGGAGATCTTGGTTTGTGGCAAAGAAGGAATTGAGCTTGGGTCCGTTCAGATGTACATTTGCTGTCAAAGTAAGTATAAAATACAGCCGCCCGAACAGGGACTTGAACCCTGGACCATCAGATTAAAAGTCTGATGCTCTACCAACTGAGCTATCCAGGCTCCTGTGCTTTGCTTTTCTGACCTAGGAAATTTTGCAATATTGATCTGGAGATCTTAAACACATCAGCATCACCTCTCTCCTCTGCTTACAGAGTTGTGTCTGCACTTTGAACAACTGTTGCTTCCCTCCACTACAAACACCTGGAAAATGTTTACAGGTTTTTTTTTTAAAATAAAAATATGGTATGAATCAAGACACTGTGATCTCCAGAGAAACTCATGGGAACTACTCTGGCTTCCAGATGTGTTGGTCAATGAAATGGAAACCCAACATACTAAATAGCCTTAAATTGAAGAAGGATGTTCCAACCATTTCCAGCAATTATCAGCTCTGCCAAAGATGGGGGAGCAGGGGAGAGCTGTTGGCTGCTAACTGACATATGCTAAAACTACTAATGCCACTAAATGCTTATGTCCCAAGCCAACACATGAATTCTCCTCCCACCAGAAACTGCTTGGGGCAATACAAATACTCAGCCAGCCAGTTAATTTTGGTCCTCTATAGCCTTGTATAAATTACTTTCATGTCATCCAGCATACGATTCCTAGGAACTGAAGATGATAATTGGCCAGCTTGCATGGAACAGGAACTGAATACAGTTTGGAACATTGTGAGAAATATTCTCAAATGTTCTGAAGGTTATGAGGCTTGTTAGGCTAGAAAGGAAGTTTGGGCTATTTCCAGGTGTTTGTTTTAATACAGGTAGTCCTCGCTTAACGTCTACACCTTCAGGTACCCTTCAAAATTTCAATAATGCCGAACAAGGGGACTTACCAGTATTCTTTGTAACTGCACGTTGCAGCAACCCACATGGTCACAGGATTGCAATTTGGGTGTTTGGCAGGCAGCTTCCATTTATGAAGTCACAGAGTCCCATGTTTATATAATTGGAGTTTGCAACTTTCCTTGGAAAAGAATGAAATTCTGACTGGGTTTTACCGATTAAACTGGTGGATATTTATAGAAATGGCTTGTTCATATTATAATGAAAAAGCAAAAAATTGTGATTTGATGTAAATGCCTTGTTTTACTGTAACAGAGAGAGAGTTGGCAGTCAATGCTTCTTTTTCTTTTCTTTTTTTTCCTTTTCTTTCTTCACTTCTCTCCCCTCACCCTGATTTTCTATTTACTTTGTATTTTGTATTTTACAATAATTTATAACCCAATAAAAATGTTAAACACGGAGAAGTTTGCAACTTTCCTGGCTGGCTTTCAACAAGCAAAGTCAACGGGGAAGTCAGCAGGAGGTTGCCTATGGTGATCATATGACCATAGGACAATGCAGCACAATGGTGGCTGGGACTACTACAAATTGCTGTTATAAATCAGTGCAACCATGTGAAGCAGGGGTGAAATTCAGCAGGCTCTGAAATTTTGAGTAGTTTGGAGAACGGGCAAATACCACCTCTGGCTGGCCCCAGAGCGGGGTGGGAATGGGGATTTTGCAGTATCCTTCCCCTGCCACACCCACCAAGCCACGCCCACAGAACCAGTAGTAAAAAAATTGAATTTCACCACTGATGGGAAGTTGTGCCTTGTAACTAAGTTGCTAAACGGGACAGTTCCCTGTACCTATTACCAGTGGTGGGTTCCAGCTGGTACGCCCTGATACGGGCGTACTGGTGGCCACTGGGAGCAGCAGCCACCATACCGGAATGATGTTTTGGAAGGCCCATCCGCCTGCCCACGTTCCTTACCTGTATTTAAGCCAACCGGGCCATTTGTGCACACATGCGCAGCGCACAGCATCTGTGTGACCTCTGCCAAGCAGCTGGAGCCTTGCAGGGCGGTGGATGTGCATGCGTGCGCAGTGCACATGCCTGAGGTGGATGCCCAGCCCTGTCGCATCATACCAGTTGCGACGGGATCCAAAACCCACCACTGCCTATTACCATTGGTAATTGAAGACTGTTTATAATCTTGTTAAAGGTGTGCGTTGGGGGGAAGACAATGAGATAGAGGGGGGGAGGGAGGGAGGGAGGGAGGGAGAGAGGGAGGAAGAGAGAAGGCTGAGTACGCACTCCATGATCCTGCTTGTTGCAAGTGCCACTAGAGAAGAGAAGCAACAAAAACTACCGCCAGCTACAGAAGCTGCTGCCGCTACCAAAGAAATGGGAACAAACAAGAGCCCAGTGCTGGAGCTGTTCATCTGGAAGCAAATGCACAAAGAAAAGGCAGCTGGGCAGCCAGCCGTATGAAAGAGGGAAGAGAAGCTGCAATTATCTGCCGTTCCTTCCTGTCGCTAAGTAGAGGTTGTGACAAGAAATTCAGTCATCCGAGATGGCTGCACAAAGCCTCGGCTTCTTTGTGGAGGGAGGGGAGCCCAAAGGTCAGGTCCACTCTGCCCAAGATTGGTGTTCTTGCTCTCCTCCCAGCAGAAACTAGGCGTGTTACCCCCTGTCCTAGATTTTGATGGGCAGCTCATCTTTTTGGCTTGTCTGCAACAAACAGGATGATTACAGAAGGCCTTTGTCCACATTATCTCGTTAAGGCTTTAAAAAAAAAATCACCCCAGTGGGTCACAGTGCATTCCACATGAATGGCAAATTGCAGAGCGGCGGTTCCGTTTACACTTGTGGTGGAATTAAACACGATGCAGAAAACCTCATCAGGGTGAGGGGAAGTGCTGAGAGATGTGAGGGAATTGAATGAGGCAGTTCCAATAAAAAAGGAGGGGGCAGAGTTCAGGCCTGGTTACCGAATCCTTCCTTCTTGAGCATTTTTCCCATGAGGGGGCATCTTGCTCAGATGCTTTTGTCCTCTCAAAGCATCTTTAGCATTTCCAAGGACCTGGAGCAAAATGGCTGGAGGAGGAATTACTGTATGTATGGGGGGGGGGAAACCACTGCATGAAAAGTCATCTGTCATTTTGAAAAAGAGAAACCGTTAGGCAGAGTGAGGCAAAGGGAGTAAGGCTGCTTGGTATCAATGTGTTAAAATTGTACAAACCACATGACTCGCCGTATTTGCTTCACTGTCAGGTGGGAAAGACCAGATCCATACTTGAAGTACTCCAATTAAACTGAACAACAAAGTTGGAAGGTACCCTGAAGGTCATTTAGTCCAACCCCCCCCCACCCAAGCAGACCCTACACCACTTAAGACAGATGGCAATCCAGTCTCTTCTTGAAAGCTTCCAGTGAAAAAGCTCCCACAACTTCCGAAGGGAAGCTGTTCCATTGGTTGATCGTTCTCACTGNAATTGTGGTGTTGTGTTGTCCGTTGTCTTTCTTTTTTTCTGTTTGTTTCCCCCCCCCCCCGACTTGGTTTGTGAGCCGCCCTGAGTCCCTCTGGGAATAGGGCGGCATAGAAATACAATAAAATCGAAAATCAAAATACCATCCTCTCCCCTTTCCACCACCACCCTCTGACTAAACATTCCCAGTTTCTTCAAACTCTCTTCAGAGAATTTACTTTCTATTTACCAGAAAAAATAAGATTGAGAATCTTGCATAAAGGGTATAAAGTTCTGAGGAAAAAATAAATTGACCCAAAGGAGGAATCGAAACGAACTAGTTTGAAAAGTATTTCTGATAGGCTTTTCCCATAGCTAGTCATATGGGGAGATATATTTTCACACAGGTGCCTGCCCACAGCACAAACAAGCCTCAGCAACCTCTCTGGCTTGTCCTTGCCTGATTCCCCACGTTTTATTATTCTGGGTAGATACACCCGTGTTTGTACTTACATGCAGTTTCTGGCCGCAAGATCTCTGTGCACAAACTTCTTCTGGGCCAGATACTCCATCCCCTGAGCCACTTGTAGCCCAAAACCTATTAAATCCTTCACAGTGGGGTTCTGATGGAAAACAAACAAACAAACAAAACTGTCTGACACCAAGGAAACCCACGAGGAGTTTTCCATCTGGCTTTGAAGTTTATGCACCTCAAGAGAGCAGAGCTGCTTGCTTGCGGTTCCCACAAGATAACCCAGCTGAAGTTAATTTCAAGGCTGCTTCAGATATTGGACAAATTTTCTAAGAAATTTGGCTGAGAAACTGAGTGTATCCCATTCACATATGATAGATGACAAAGAACCCACGCCTATAAATATAAACAGCAGAATTGGGGCCAGGGGAATCTTCTCTACTCTGTGCACACATGGCAAAGCAGACACTAGCTCACTGCTTGGCAAGATAGGAATAGGATGCGCATAATATAACACTCAGAATTGAAATGGAAGAGCCTTCTGAATTTTTCTTCCATAGCTTACAACCTTCTCTTTCACAGTGTGCCTGCATGGCCCCCTAGTGGTCAGAAGCATTCACTGTCTTGCCCTTACTCAAAGGAACATGTACCCACACTTAACCTATTGCTCCTTTTCCATGAATAATGCTTTCATGTGATCCTGGATTTGAATATAATAGCTGCAAGGAAAACCTTGGGAGGATAAATATTGTTGTTATCAGCTAAATTTGTTTTTTAATATTGAAATCCTCTGCAAAGGGTGGCTGATATGTTTAAGCTCAAAAGCCACCTGCAAGGCAAAACATCCATTTTTATGAAGCAAGGGGAAGGCATTTTTGAGCTGATCAGCAGTACATCACAAGTGGAAACTGACAACTGCCTAATATTTCACAGAATGTTTACAACAAGAATGAAATAAGGAGCAGAAGAGATGAGTTGGAAATTATTCAAGACCCAAATGCAATAAAAATATGAGGTGAAGCTTATACGGACAGTTCCTCAAAATAATGTGGTGAGAAAATGTTTATAAGATAACAACCACAACCACAGTGGCAATAGATTGGAGGCGGAAGAGAAGCCTGCCAATAGTAAGAATGCTACCTCTGATTGTTTCTCCAGGGGGGAAAAGTAGACTATAAGATGCTAGCATATTCCAGTCAATTGTCTGTGCCAATTAGATTGAGGAAGCTCCATCAGACATCAGCTCATGTTCCTCCTGTTCTATCTTTCTCAGGGTCAGCAGAAAGATGCAAAGCAAGCTCTCTTCTGAAAACCCAAAGTTCCCATCTCATTTCATCAACAGAAAGTACTGCTGATAAGAAGATTAATTTCTTGTATGTGTCTTTCTGAAACCTAACCTAAAAGATTTACCTTACAAAGACTACAATGCAGTGGTGGGATTCAGCCAGTTCGCACCTATTCGGGAGAACTGGTTGGTAACTTTTCTAAGTAGCTCAGAGAACCGACTGTTGGAAGAAATCTCNCAACTCCCAGAATTCCTCCTCCAGTCATATTGGCTCAGGAACTCTGGCATTGAAGTGTGCAAGTCTTAAAGCTGTTAAGTTACAAGACCCTTGCTCCCCTAACCCTTTAGAAAAAAACCCAGGGGTGTTCAAACTTGGCAGCTTTAAGACTTGTGGACTTCAACTCCCAGAATTCCTCCTCTCGCTCTTCATCTTGATGATGTGCAGATGGGTGGGAGGAGGGAGCTGGAACCAGTTCTAAACGGCCCTGTAGATTCGTGGAACCTCTTCTATAGAAGAGGTTAGAACTGGCAGGAACCCACCCCTGTACTGATGAGAGGTTTTAATTACCTCCAATGTCTGCTGGGAGACAAATTGTGACAAACAGGATTCTTCCAAGAAATTTCTGTCTTTTTTTGCTGACAACTTTCCTCTTCAGAGGGTAGAATAAGATACAATAGGTTCAGCTACCCATGGTTTAGGATTAACCAATAAAGAAAACTTAAATAAGGAACTAAAAGTAGCAGGAACAGAGGAAGAAAGTGATCGTGTAATGATGGGAGGTCCTGATTTTAAGGAAAACTAAGAGTGGGCATAATCAAACATACAATGGATTTCAAAAAAGCTGAATTTATTTAACTCAAAATAGTTTAATGAATTAATAATAATGAATACGATTCCACAGCAGGAAAAGTTAATAGGAAGTGGTGCTCAAGACAGATGGGAGTTCCTAAAAAAGATAGAAAAGGTGCACTTGCAAACAATTCAAATTCAAATGAGAAAGGGAAGATAATAACACAAAAAGTTTGGTGAAGATATGAAAGCAAAACCAGATCCATAGAGTAGGAAGAAAAGGGAACAAGCCAACCAGGAAAAGTACATGCATTGCAGACAAGCTATAACTCTGCAGATAGTATAAAAAAAGGATGAAGTTTAGATTAAACTGAGGTTGACAAAAAGATAAAGTTTATTTTAGATGTGATCAAAACACAAGGGAAACAAGCTACTCAGCGTTAGAATACAAGTTGCTGAGTATATGATGATGGCAAAGAAATGGCAACAAAGAAATGGCAATTCCTACTTGACCTCAAGATTCCCTAATTTAGGCAGTTTTATTTTTCCATCAAGCGTTTATAAAACAAGAGCACAAGGACAAAGTTAAGGGTTGAGATGATGGTAAGAAAATATATTTCTTATTTTAAATACTTAACTATCCAAAGAGATAAACTCCATCCTAGCATACCGGAAGAACTGGTGGTCGGGCCAAACTTTAGATGTTTGAAAAATCTGGACAAAGGGTAAAATTCCAGAGGACTGGGGGAAAGCAAATTCATTTATCTTCAAGAAGAAAAGAGAAAAATCTACCAAGCCTAGTAACAATATATGAGGATTTTTTAGAATGCACTATAAAGATGTCAAGCCATAATGGCACCTTAAAAATAACCCTGCATTTCCTGGACGTACAGTATGTATTTTCAAGTCTTGCCATCATAGCATTATCACAAATTTGACTGGATAATATTCTGAGTGAAAGTTGAGGATGCTAGAAGACATGATATATCTTGCTTTTAGAAAAGCATTTGAAAAGTGTTCCACAACATTCTGATTAACAATCCAGTTTCATGAAGCCAGATGGTATGATAATTAAGTGGATTCACAGCTGTATTCACCGAACGTTCATCAATGGCTCCACATCAAACTGGAGTGAAATATCAAGTGGAATGCCACAAAATGCAGTCCTGAGTCTTGTATAATTTAATATTATTTTTTTAAAAAAATTGGATAAAAAGGTAGAAAGGGAAGAACTGTTCTGCAATGCTTCAAAGTCCCGAGTATTGTATACATGAGTGCCCAATTAAAGGGATTAATAGGAGGAAATAATCTGTTAAATGGCAATTGGTATTCTTTTTTTCAATTCCAAGTATTCATGGGGAAAAACAGCTTCACTGATAACAGTTCATATCTATTCAGTGGAGAAAGCAGGGAACATTTGATTATTTGTTTGAAATGACTTATCTACTGTTTGGGTCAAAGTGATTGTCCAAAATTCAAACACAGTTTGGATCCAACATATTTTGTCCATTAAAGTCAAAATCTTCTAAACCTAGATCCATTAAATTGAGGCTTAATACTAATTAATTCAAGTTACAGGAAGGCAGATTTTGCTTGAATGTTAGAAAAAGCTTCCTAACAGTAAAAACAGTTATCAGTGAAACCAATTACCTAGAAATTGTTAGCTGGTCTCTTTTTCACTTGATGCAGTCAAGTGGAAATTAGACAGCTATTTATTAGGAATACTTTAAATTATTCCACTGGCCAGCAGATTGAACTCAAGGGCCTAAATGGCTCCTTTTAATTCTTTCATTTTATACTATGGTGGGACAGTTGTAAGAGGAACAATTTGTGGCCTTTGGAATCCACAGGTTGTCCTTGATTTACTACTCTTCATTCAGTGAGGATTCTAACTTATAAAAGCACTCGAGGGGAGATACAATCCCCTCCCAAAGTCCCAACCATTGCGGTGTCCTTGCGATCACATGTCAAAAATTCATGTGCTTGGTAGTGCACCTTTATGACTTAATTCCAGAAGCATTGCAAGTCTCCCTCACTGCAGCTAGGAGGACTCATCTATCTCGGCCCACTGGCCTGTGGAAATCTGCCAAGGGCTCAGAGATCTCAACTGGTAGGCCCAGGGTGTGGAGTTCTCCCACCTTAACACTCTCTTGCAAGGTTTGAGCCTTCTTCCCACCCAACCATGTGGGTCCGCTTACCTTCCCTTTCTGTGGAGCTGCTGACAAGCACGCCCAGTTGATGTGAGGTGTAGCTACTCCAGAAAGCTAGACAACACAATCTTTCCAGTGATGGAAAGAGCCTCAGAACATCCATGTTGCTGATGTTCATCTTGCAATGTTTTAAGACTCTTTCTACCTTCAGAAATATCTCAACCAAAGACTTCCAGCAGTGGGGAATAGAGAGGAAGACCTGTGTGCCAATGGGTGCTGGTTCTCCTCGGGCCTCCCCAGCCCCATAAAGCATTCATGAATGGTCATTTAATGACCACAATGCGGGGATCTGGAGTTGCAGTCACTGAATGAGACAATCATGGGGGTGCCTCATTTAATGACTGCAATGACATCTTACCCAAATTGTGGGCTGAATAATTATACTATACTTATAGAGCACTGTAAGAGATTAGGAAAGTGTATGGGAAGTACCAGAAAAGGTCAGGGCGGGTTTGTGGGAATATGCAAGAGGTGCCACTTTGGTGAGCATGGTGCCGGTAGGGAAAGGCACAGGTTGGGGGTCTGTAGTGAATTTTTCTGTCTATATTTTTTGGAGGGATGGTCAATATTTTTAGGGTTTTTTTCATTGTACAATCTTGTTGTTGTTTTCTTTTGAAAACAAAGTGATGGAGGCTTGTACTTCCCTATTTTAAAATACTAAAAAAAAAATGGGATTTCATTATATATCAGAAGGCTGAGAGCATTTTTTTTTTTTAGAAAAAAAAACCAGCAATAACATTTAGAGTTCAAGACCTGAGCTACATGAGCTTTGTGATCTATATAATAAAACATTCTTCAAGTAAACAAATATGATGCAGAGAACAAGTGTTTGGGGGATTTCTCTCTCTAGTCTCCCTAGGTGCTGCTTTGAATGTCTTTGTTACTTCATCTAAAATATATATATTACTTAGTTCAGCACTACAGCCAAGGAGCTCATTTATGTTTCAAAAGCAAAGCAAACAAATATTGTGCCAAAATAAATGTGAGCACTTGCAGCACATTTGGGAATGTCCAGGTGAATGTTAAATTGGCCTATGAATAAATAAAGCAGTTAATTTGGCTCCAACTAAAACTAATTTGATTTGGCCACATTAATAGACTGATGATAACAGCCACCCTTTTCAAATCATGCACCATTTACTCCAAAGTTTTTTTTTAAGGGCAGGATGTATCGGGGCTGAGATGGTTGCCATGGAGGTTATGAAAATCTGAACCCCCTTTGACCTTATATCCATGGAAATGGAAGAATCACAGCACTAAAAGCTATGGAGATTTCAATACCAGCCCTGAGTGCAGTCCAGAAGTTTAGAAAGGACATTGCTGGGAGCGGGGAATAGATGGACACCCACATCCACTTTGTTTCTACAATCCATTTATTTCTTACCTCTAAGCCCCAACCAACCCTAGAATAATCATGGTATAATTGTCCCAAAAGATCACAGTACCACTATCATCCTGCCTTGTTACTGAAGGACTTGCAACTTACTTTCCATTCATTGCTGCATCAGATTTTAGCAGCGCATGTTCAGTAATGCAAGTCTTCCAGTTGGATGAGTCAGCTTCTGTACAGATTTATTAACAGCAACCCAAGCTCAAGGTGCCCAGGAATCTACCTATCTGGGCCCAGGGATGAGGCCACGGACCTTTTCTTCTAACTGCCCCCCCCATGCTCCCCCCCATGACTGTAAGTGATACAACATGCATGCCCTGGCTTTACCATCCTCAACTGAATTACCTCAACTGGGCGCTGGAGGAGCTGCCCTGTGCGCCTCTCTTGGGGAACGGAGTCTGTATGAGGGACAGAGCCATCTTTTCCTGTGAGCAAGGAGGTGATGGATTGAAGATAGAGGATGCTGGCCAAGAGTTGGTAACACTTTTTCTAACAGCCAGAAAGGAAGTTGGGGAAAGGATGAGTGAAAAGGAAAGGCCTAAAGAAAAGGAGTTAAAGGAGGAGCTGGGGAAATACTGTAGTTCTCAATATGCAGATATCAGCATTTTCTTGCACAATGATGATCCCCAAGAAAAAGGAGCATGTCCGGGGTGAGGAAGAATATTCAGAGATTAATTAGGATGTGACTGTTATACAAACCATCCCCCTACGTTCCAGAAAAACATTCCCAAAACAGAGGATCCCTACCAATGCCTGGAATTTGGAGAAAACGTCAGTCAGAAAAAGCACCTGAATTCACATCAGAGTGTCCATGAAGAAAGGAAGCAGCATCAATGCATCATCTGCAGAAAGAACTTCAGAAGCAGTCCAACTCTTACTTCCCACCAAAGCATCCAGAGAGAGCGTAGAATGAGGTTTACTCGGAGCAAGGAACCAAATTCCAGGGGGGAGAAGCCCGACTGTGAATAATTCATGTAAATGCTTGGAATGTGGGAAGAGCTTCCGCTCTGCAACTCACCTCACTTTCCACAACAGGATCCATACAGGGGGAAAGCCATATCATTGCACAGTGTGTGGAAAGAGCTTCACTCAAAATGGCAATTTCAATTTACATAAGAGAGTCCACACCAGAGAGAGGCCGTATAAATGCACAGAGTGTGGAATGACCTCAACCCCCACTCCCCAGCATTTTATCGTTCAGCATCCTCAACACCCCATGTACACCACCACATCTGGAGACTGTAGCCTGCAAGAACAGACCTTCTGACAGTCCTCATCAGTCATGCTCTTCCCATCCACCAACATCCTGCTACTTCCTGGGGAGAAGCCACCATTTCTGAGAGAGTTGCTTTCTCTGTGACAGCTTCACCACCTCTTCCTACTCTTCCCGGGATCAAATCTGTCAGTATTTCAGATAGACTTCTCCTTTGGCGACATCAGGCAGCTCTTGTTCCTGCCAGTTTTCTCCTCTTTTAAAATTTACCTCTGCATCCATTTGCCTACAGCCACCATTCCAAACCTCCCTTCCCTGTCTAAGCCACTTTCACTTCACATTTTTCTTTTCTTTTATCCATGAGAATAAACCCTACTCTTCCAAGGGGAGGGAGATTTGCATGGATGGAGAACTCCTTTCGTCCCTGTGACTGTCTCACATTCACTTTAACTACCTTTCCTGTCTAGTAGTTATTTCCCCTTCCCCTCCCTCCAATTCATAGTTATTTTCCTCTTCTGACTTTTTGACAGGACCGTCATCTAACAACAATCCTTCTGCCGCCATCTTCCAACTCTGAACTCCATGGTTTTTTTTTTCAAGGTTAGTACAGACTTGCTCTTCTTCAAGGCTGCTTCCCGTGGGATATTTTTTCCAGCTCCTCCATCATCTCTGACAGTTAACAGAAGACTTATCAACAGTGGTGAACAACATGCCACATTGAAACCGTGTTATGCCCTAATACAATGTGTAAGACCAGGCTTTGAAAGGAGGTTGACATGATGTTCCTGGAAGAATTCTTCAATGTTATAAAATTGGAGCAATGGGGTTTATTATAACAGTAAGGGTATTAAGCAGCATACTACAGCTTGTTTTCAAGTCAATGCAATGTGTGAACCTACCCATTAGTTGTGCTATACGTAAAGGAGGCGATTGTGGCTTATTTAACAAATCGTGACTAAAATATTGTTAATATTAGGTGATAGTGACTCTAAAGAAATTATTGCATAAAACAGCCTGATAGGAATTCATAAC